GTCGCCCCCTGTCACGGACATAGATTGATCTGATCAACTCCGTGACACTGTCGATCTCAATCCCTCATCCCAATCGTAATCCCACATCCACGATCCCAATCCCATCCCCTATGGCAACACAGCACCCCGAGCCCCACCCCCCAGCCGCCCCGCCCGCCCCCGGCCTCTCATTGGTTAGGGGCACTTCCGGTCCGTTCGTGCCTCTCATTGGTCAGCGGCGGTTCCGGCCCACGAGCGGCGTTCTTCAGACGGCGGCTCCGCGTTCAGCCCGCAGTGCCCAACCGTGCAGCAACCCGCATCTCAGGATGGGCTTCAGCTGCGCCCCAGTGCCTTCATTACAGAGAGGAGAATGGAGCGCAGCGGGGCATCTTTCCTCCTGGCATTTCCCACTGTCTGCATGTTGGCTGTGCCATGCGAGCGTCACGATGTGTTGAACATCAGAGTGTGCGCGGCGGCACGTGGCTGTGTGCAGTGTTTGCAGGTGAATGTGCGTTTTGCACATGAGTGTTGGCACGTGACTGCATGCTCACAGGTGTGCAAAGGGATGGGTTTGCACACCTGTGTGTGTGCGTGAACATGGCTGTGTGCATCGAGGTCTTTGCACAAGGCTGTGTGGTTTTTCACACATTTGCGTGCACGTGGATGCAGTGTGCACACAGGGCTGTGCAAGGATGTGCTTGCATGTGTGTGTGAACGCACAGCTGTGTGTGCAGGGAAGTCTTTGCACGTGGTGTGTGGTTCTGCACACTATGTGCACACAGCTCTGTGTGCAAGGGAGCAGCGGAGGTTCCTGCGAACAGATTTCTGGGAGAGGTGGAACTCACACGAGAGTGCTGGAGAGCACAGGGCCGGCAGGCACAGCTCCGCAGCACTGCACTATGCACAGCAGGATGCACAGCCTGCAGGATGGCACTGACGGAACCAGGACACGGCGCCACACCAGGCGCTGCAAAGGAAACACACACTTCCTCGACGGCACAGCCGGCTGCACGCCTCCTGGGTGTCCTCGCCTCTTTCCTCGAGACGGACTCGAGGCTTTCCGGTGCTGGCTGTAGGGTCCATGCCCGGTAGCTGCCCTGAGCTCCTCCTCAGCACAACAATGAGCGCTTTCCCTTCCTCCATAGAGATGTTTGTCCTCATTACGGCTGTGGACTCCTCCATGGGCGCTGGCTGACGAAGTGCATCTCTGCTGGAGGTGCAGCACACCCAGCAGCTGCCCTTTCCTCCTGCCAGCACAGATGCTGAGCTTTTGGCTGCACCACAGTCTCTCGTCACCTTTGCTTTGCCATTGAACTGAATCCTATTTCTTTGCTGTTCTGCTGGTTGGTTTCAGTTCTTTTTGTTTCTGTTTATTGTCTCTTTCTTCATTGGGTCACATTGATTTGCTTTCCTTTGTTCACTTGGTTTTGTTTTCTTTACTGCTCTTTTGCTTTTCTCTCCAATGTTTGTTGCCCTTGTATATTGCTGCCTTTACTTCTTTTTTGTATTTCTCTTTTTTTTGTGTTTGTTTTGGATTTTTTTGTTTGTTCTTTTTTTGTATTTTTTGTATTTTATTATTGTTTTTCCTTTTAATCTTTTTTTTTGTCTTATTGTCCTCCGTGGAGGATCGTAAACCTGTATGCAATGGTGTAGCGACCTTGTCAGGCCCAATAACGCGGTGTGCTGCCATCAGCCAGTCTCTTAATAATGGTTTTCGTCCTGGTGTTGTATTTTTATGGTATCATAGGTTGGATTTCAAAGGGGTTTGTCTCAGGTGGAGCTTTGAGATCCAACTTTGAAGCTTTGTTTTCTGAATCACCCAGGTCCATTGATTTAGGAGCCTGGGTATTTTCTAATGCAGCATTCTGCACTTGTTTTATAGGGGGAAGTCAAGCTTGATTTCTTTCCTGCTAATATGCCAAGTTGCTGCTTTTGTTCTCTAAGGTATTGTTTGAAAGCTCTGCTTGATTGAAGGCAATTAGTGATGGCCACGGCACAGTGGACGCGGCCAGCTGTCGCTCTTTTGTGATCAAAATGTCTTTATTTAATCCATGGAAATAACCGGATGAGAGGGGGAATGAAGAGGGAGAGACACCAGGCACAGAAAACTGGATTGGTTAAAAGGACAATTTGAGTTGGGACTGTGTAAGGATGGGGTTGTGGCAATTCATAAAAACTGTGGGATTGAGAGTAACAAGGTTCTTCTTCAGAGATGCTCACCTTGAGCTGTAAGTCTCAAGAACTGCAAATAAATGAGGGTGAAGGACAGACTGATCCACTGAAAGCAGAAGTCAAAGCTTGAACTGAGAATGTTGGAGGGGCTGCGGCATGATTCCTTCAGCACAAGGTGACAGGAGTGCCACTGCTGCAACGGTTTCTGGAGCCCTGGGTGGGAGCCTGCAGGTGCTGGCCATCAGAGCCCCTGCCCCAAAGCATCCACTGCTGCCAGCAGTGGGTGAGTTCACTGGGACTGTGGGGATGGGAGGTGCTAACCAGCGAGCCTTCAGTTTCCACTCCTAAATTCAGGCTTGGGAGCACGCTAAAAATGGGAAATATATCTGGTGTAGGAAGGGGATGTCCTCAGCCAAGGTCCTGGAAAACTGGAGGAAAATGGATGAAACTGCAGATCTACCAACAAAAAGGAAAGCACATGGCGCTTCCCACGGCGGGTTTGTGGGAAGGTCAGCCTCCCTGTGTTTATATTTCAGCCATCGTTCTCCATGCTGGAGAGGCTTTACCCATTGCACGTGCATGGACAACTTGTGCTATAGCATCCTTGATCCAGACCCCATTTCCGTACGGCATCTCTTTCTTAATGGCCCATGGTGTCACGGGGGCCCCGAACTGGAAATAACGCCCTCGTGGTGTCACTGTAAAAGTTTGCCAAGCGAAGCTCTAGTTGCTCCATCCCTGGAGCTGTTCAAGGCCAGGCTGGGCAGCATGACCCAGTGGGAGGCATCCCTGCCCAGGGCATCGGGTTGAGCTTCTAAGTTCTGTACCGTCCCTTCCAGCCCAACCCATTCCGCTGTTCTGCGTTCCTGTGATGCAATCCCCCGCCCTGGTGCAGTGCAACACAAGCGGAGCAGCCCGTGGGGAGCCTCTGCCCGGCATCCCAGAGCTGTGAGGTCGCGGTGCCCTGTGCTCTGCTGTGCTGAGCTCTCAATGCCTGGCTGTGACGCCGTGCCGCATGCATCGCTCTGTGCGACTCACTGTGGCTGTGGCGGTGGTGGTGGAAGCATGGTGCGAGTGTGGGGGGCTTTGCCCCTGCCCGCCTTGTCTTCCTCTTCCTCCTGATGGCTGTGTGCTTCAGGGAGATGTGCGCTGCTCCGTGGCGAGCACCGGGAGCAGGTGGGTGGGCAGAGATGGGACCAAACCTGAGCAGCACTGGGGCGAGAAGTCAGGCTGTGTCCCCACGGCCCTGTGCTGCTCTTCCCTGGGGCTGCCTTCCAGGGCAGGGGTTGGGGGTTTGGGCAGGGGGTGACGGGCTGCACCGCAGGAGCCGAGCAGGAGCAGCTGGGCAGCGCTGCTCCCCAGGCCTGGCTCCAGCCGTGCCGCCAGGTCGGGCCGTGGCTCTGCTGCTTGCTGGCTGGAGCACAGCCTTCATCCTGGGAGGGAGGTGTCCTAGGGAGAGCTCAGAAGATGTGTGCTGGAGACACAAGAGCGTTTTCTGCCCCAAGCTTGTGGTACTCCCCATAGATGACTCCCAGTTTCCAACACAGAGCCCCGGCCCACAGCCCAGAGGAGGAGACAGATGTGCTTTCCTCCAGGGCTTCGGTGCAGCCTTCCTTTGTGTGCATCAGAGCCTTCCCAGTAAGAAAGCCCCGAGGGGCTGCATCTTCTTCCTTGTGGTCTGTGAGGGATGCGGCACGTGGCCTGGAGGGAGTCTTGTGTGCCCTGCCAGGTGCCAGCCTGCAGCTCATCCTGGCCGCTCTGCAACTTTGGAAATCGGGACCCGAGTCCTTCTCCCAGCCTGTCCCACGACCCACATCCAGTTACTGCGGGGGAAGGAGATCACGCCGTGCAGTGGGTCCTTCTCTCATCTGTTCTTGATTCTAGATGATGAGCTCGGTGCTCTCTTTCTGGATGACCTCTTGGATCCAGATTTCACACCTGTGCCCAAGGCACAACCCAGAGGTAAGTTGTGTCTGTTTCCTAGAAGGCAGAAACACTCATGCCCTCGTAGTTTACTCGGGTACAAGGTCTTCCAAGTCTGTCTGTGCCTTGAAGGGCTTGCACAGATGAGCCTTGAGTGTTTCTTTGCTGGGAGAGCTGCCACATTTCGGTGGGAAGGTCACCACTGCCCTTCTTCAGCTGAGAGAGCCCAGAGCTTCGTATTTGGGCTGTGCCATTCCCTGACCCACCGCCAGATCTTACAGGTCTGCCAGTGTTACAAAGGAGGCCCCCACGTGCAGTGGAAGCTCTCCTCACCTGTGTCTGATCACACTTGTGCCTGCAGGCCCTGCTGGCGAATCAGAACGGAATCCTGTCCATGAGCCTGAGGGGAATGCTGGAGGTAAGTCACCAGGCTTTGTTTCCTTGATATTTGTTCATGTGTGGCTGGGATAGTTCAGCAAGGGTTCTGCTTTTCACTGGCCAGTGGGTTCTTCTCCACGGGAAGCATGGGGGGTTGTTGTTTCCTGGGTGCTCTGTGCTCTCGGCGTCGTGTTGGCTTTGCCTCTCTATCTCAGAGATCTCCCAATGAGACAATTGGAAGGAGCTGAATGCTGTTCTGGGAGGTCTCTGAGAATTGTTTCCCGTGGCCTGGGGAAAGTATTTTGAAAGCTGTGGAATACCAGCCGTCAGGTCACCGGGCCTCTCTGCAGCTTTGGGACTTTTGCCCCATGCCTTTAATTGAGCCCCTTCCATCACTGCATGTCAGTAAGGAAGAGAGGTGGGCACATGCCATGGGAATGTCTCTCAGCTGTCCTTGATTCCAGCCGTGTCTCCAGGCAGCGGCTGACCAAAGCCCAGGTTCAATCCGGTCCCTGAGACGCGGGGCGATCCCACAGCTGAGTCCCTGAGAGCTGTTAGTTTTCATTCAGGCTTTAATTTTCTTTCTGAGTGCCATATGACTTCCTGCTTCCTCTGTGGAAGAGAAGGGAAGGTTCGGGTCAGGCTGTGTGCAGAGTGCAGTGCCTGCCTTGCAAAGCCGTCTTTGCTGGCCGCTCCAGCCCTGAGCTGCTCCCTGTGCCTTGTGCAGAGCCAGCGGCACCACGCAGTCGAGCTGAGGGCTGAGCTCCAGGAGGGCGTTCCTCTGGGCAGCCCTACACGGTGTAAGTTCTGTAGGATCGTGGTGTCCCTGCGTGTACCTGGGAACTGTTTCTGAGGTGCTCCTGTGTGGAAGGGAGAGAGCAGTGTCACGAAGGAATCCCCTGCTTTAATTGCATCCCCGATTGGGAGGATGTTTAATTAGAATTGCTCTGTGCTGCGTTTGTTTGCAGATGTGAATGGAGGAGGTGATCCAGCTTCCCCTCTGAGCTCTGAGACCGAAACCCGGGCGGATGGCATGGGTAAGTCACGGCTCTGTAGTTCCTTGGAGAGCTCTCACTGCCTGCTTCGGTGCCATTTCATGGCACTGCTTCCCCCGTACGCTCCGCTGTTCAGCGATGCTGTTGTGCACGACTGAAACTTTTCATGGCTTGCAGAAGTGCCCCCAGGGAGGGCTTTGCTCAGTCGCTGGTTCATTCCTGTGCTGGAGCCCAGGTGGATGCCCAGGGATGGTGGTTTGTTTTACCGATGGCGTTGACTCAGCGCTGGTCTTCAAAACCTTGTGCTCATGGCATTTAACTTCATGTGTTCCATGCAGGTCTGGAAAGGGGAAAGGATGAATCCAACAGAGGGAAATTCTCCCAGGGGTCTTACCATCCGTGAGAGCTGCTGAAGGAAATGGACGTGGCAGCTCGTGGTGGGTATACTTCAGTCTGTTCACTGTGAGACTCGGGAAGCTGAGGCCTGATGTCCGTGTGCAGGAGGGCATTGCTCAGAGCCGTGCTGCAGTGGTGTTCCACGCGATGCCTTGCAGGCACTGGGGAGCACCAGAGATGGTCTGCTGCCACTTCTGCATCCAGCCGAGACCCAGGGGCAGCTGCTCCCCCAGCATGACCATTACTTGTCAGAGCTGCTTTGTGGAGACCCAGATGGCAGCAAATGTCAAGTGCGGCGATTCTGTTAATACAAAGCCCTCCCTGCAACTGGGCTAGTTCAAGGCAGGATGAGCATCCCGAGCAGGGATGGCTGCCATTGCTAATGCTAGAAACCATGTGCAGATGTCGATTCTGAAGGTGTTCCTGTTGGAGCTTGAATTTCAGCCTGCAAGGTGCCTGGCTGTGATGGTGGAATGTGATGGTTGGTGATGCTCACAGCACAGCGTGTGAGTGCCTTGCTTAGGAGTTGATTCCTCAGGAGGCGTGAGAGGGTAGGCACCCTGCAATTCGTGGGAGTGCCCAAATGCCCGTGGCAGCAGAGGAGGTCGCAGGTGGATTTGGGGGGTGGAGGCCAGCAGACTTGGCCTGAGCTCGAGGTTGGGTCAGCTCAGGTGTGCGATGTGAGAACACATCTCATCCGACTGTCCTATGTCTTTCTAAATGGATGAACACAGGCAGTGCAAACCACTGGCATGCCAGGAGATTTCTGTCCAGTGTCACCAGAGTCACTGAGTGCCAGCAGGCGCTTCCTGCCTGCTCTTGCACATCAGGTCAGCAGCTGAACCTGAGCGTGTGAGCGCAGAGCACGTGTTGTAAAAGAGGCCAGGAGCAGCTCTCTGAAAATGGCTGAGCTCAGTGGGGTGTGGGGAGTTGTGCCAGCCGTGTGCCAGAGAAGGCCTGTGTGATGCTGCTCACCTCTCACCGCTCCCAGTTCCCAGAGGGCTGTGAGCTTTGTCCTTTTGGGAACGAAGCGGCCCGAGGGCAATGAGGTGAAGGTAAGGTGGGGTGTTGTCGTTTCTTCCAGGGCTGAATGCAGGGAAAAGCACAAAGGCTGCTGTTGGCAGATCTGTGCGGCAGCGTCACGTGGCAGTGATGGTGCTGCTCTCAGCTGTGCTGCTGTCTGCGCTGGTGCTGGCCTGCATCGCTGTGTCGCGGACGTGGAACAAATGCCTGTGAGTTGTCTTTTTCCCCCAGCCATTTCATTGCTGCATTTGGCAATGAAGTTTTTGTGGTGCCAGGATCCTGGGCAGCTGAATCAGCTGCTGGCAGTACGCTGTCATGATTTATGTCGCAAGGTCTTCCAAGTTTGCCCTTATTTCCTGTCAGTGAGTAGGGCTTTCTGAAACTCATTTTCAGTGTGTGCAAGAGGGGAGAGAGAGCAGCAGAGTGAGCTCATCCTGACACCGTCTGGGAGGGAATTCCAGCTGGAGATGAAGTGGAGAGTGGAGAGGCAACGAGAGAGATCCTTGCCCAAGCAAACAAGAGCCTCAGCAATAGTTTCAGTCCATTCCGTTCTGCCATCCCAGAGGCCAGAGGTGTTCAGACTCGTCTGGAAGACCTGGAGCGTGAACTCCAAGCCATGAAAGAGGTCCATGGGAACAGACCTCTGGGTGAGTGCTCTGTGGGTGAATGCTGCTTCCTGTCAGAGGATGGCCCTGAAAGTGAAAGCGGAGGATCAGTGGCAGAGCATTCGCCCTTCACCCTCTGTTCCCCAGGACGAGTTCGAAGATTCTTAGCTCGCCACAGCTACCGGTTCTAATGAGGACCCAGAAAGCGAGCTTCCTCTGACTGCCGGACAGCACGTTTATGTCTTTGGAGATGTGGATGAGGACGGCTGGTTTCTGGGAGAGCTGACGGATGGCACGAGAGGGCTGGTCCCTTCCAGTTTGGTTACAGAGGTTTCAGATGATGAGCTGGACACAACGATGCCTCCCGAGCTCAGTGATTTCCTGCTGGAAACGGATGATTGTGTCGATGCAAAGAGTCCATAATGCAGCAACATCCTGTCACAATTCTTGCCTCACTCCATCTGCAAGACGACCCCCTGCTCCACTTGATGTTCGAGTGAAGCGTGAGCAGGATGTGGATGAGCTCCTCATGGGATGATCTGAGATGACTGGCAGCGTGACTGCTTGGTTTTATCGTATATTAAAAAATAGTTTTAAAAACTAACAAGCAGCGCTGTTCTTTTTCTTTTTTGTTGAGGTGACACTTTTTCTAGCTGAGATTTTGCAACAAGTCTTGAAGCAGATTTCAACTGGTAGAAGTTGGCCGTGTTTGCATTCCGTTTTTCCTTCTTTCCTTGCTGATCAGAGTCAAGCTGCCATGCATCCTCTGGCTGGCCTCCTTCACTGTGAAAAGAACCAAGAACTTCTGGCACAGAAGTTTGTCCATGTGCAAGGCTTAAACTTCGTGCTTCTTCCTTCTCTACTTGGTAAAACTCAGCGTTGGGCTCCTTTGGAGTCTGAGTGCTGGTTTCTGGGGCAGTCCTTAGCTGGAGGCTGGAGTGCCTGTATCAGCTGTGGCGGTGCAACTCCCATGCCCCACGTTCTCCCCTTCTGCCAGGCCTCCCAGTGCTTGGTGCACTTGGACAAAAGGTGGAGGACCAGTACATGAAGGTTCTCCTTCTGTACCTCGCCCCTGCTTGCACCTGGGTAGCAAACAGCAGTGAATAAGGGCGTTAGGGGATGCCCTGATTGTCCCTGCCTTCTGCCTCGTGTCCCATTGCCCGAGGCCAATCCTGGAGTCACTCGTCTCCCGGCAGCCTGGTACATCTGGACACAAATCACGGCCCATGGGGGTAGTTTGGAATGGGTGAGTTCAGCAAGTGCTCAGGTTTGTGCAACTGGTGGAAAGAACCAGGTTTGGCCATCCAAGGGGGCCAGTGTGGAAAAGCACCGGGCAGATCTCCATCATCTCAGACCCTGCAATTAGAGATTCTTAGCGAGTGTTAACATTGACCAATACCTGAGGGCAGGTGGGAGGAACATGGATGAAGCCAGGCTCTTCTCGGTGGTGTGCAGCAGTGGGACAGCAAGCAGTGGCCTAGAACTTGAACTTGGGAAGTGCCATGCAGGCATGTGGAAGACCTTTGTTATGGTAAGGGTGGGGGAGCACTGGGACGGGTTGCCCAGAGAGGTGGTGGAGGTTGTGATGGGCATCTCCTCTGGTAGGGATGCCTCCCAGGTACTGCCAAATCCTCGAGGCTGTCCGCCAATGGAAGCCAGGGCAAAGTCAGCCCACTGGAGTCAGCCTGGATTACGACCTGATGAGGAATGGCGGCCTGTTGTATTTGCTGTAAACAGGTGGAGGCAAACTGTAAGCAGAAGCCAGCTTGCTCTTCTTCCATCCACCTCCTTCCTTCCTTATCTGTTTTAACGACATGCATTCGTTTCACAGCAGTAGGTGCTGAGATAGTTCACTTGTCCACACTTGTTTTGCGTGTTTGCGTGTGTGTTCACGCGTGAGAGCATCTGCACTCTCATGGTTTGATATGGGATGTCCTGTCAGTGAGCGAGTGTGAATCTTGTCATCTGCAAATCTATCATCAGGTCCCTGCTTAATTTTTCGCCTATTTCTTAAACTGCTGCTAAACAGAACTGAGCAAAATAGATTTGCCATTTCCTGCCATGCCAAACTAGCAGGGTGGCGGGATGATGAGCAAAGTCGCCCAATGCTTACAAAAACGTGATGTCCAAACAAAGCCTGTGTTCCCTGAGGTTTTAGCTGCACATCTCACACCGCAGGGGTAACTCTGCAGACAGATGTCTCGACAGCATTCTGGCCCCGTAGCCCCTATGGCCCCATAACCTCTACAACCCCATCTCATAGCAATCCCATCCCATATCCACCCCATAACCATCTTGAATCCATCCCATATCTATACCCCCACATCCTATCCCTATCTCCTACCCCATATCCATCCTAAATCCATATCCCCACATCCATTCCATATATTATCATACAATCAATGAATATACAGATGACACAGTACACCCGACAGCTCGGCTTATGCAGTAATACTGAAACAGAAAAGAAGGACACTCATTCTACGTAAGGCCCATCCCATATATATTCCAATTACCGATCTCCCATTCCATAACCATCCCATATCCCACATCCCAATCCTAAATTTCACATCCTAATCCCACATCCCATCCCCATCTCCCACCTGTCAATCCCAATCCCATCTCCCACCCCCTATAGCAATAGGGCGCACCCTGAAGTCCCGCCCCCATCACCGCCCCGCCCCATGCCAGTGCTCCTCCTATCAGCGGCCCCGCACCTCCCCGCCCCCGGGCTCTCATTGGTCCGGTGCAGCTCTGTCCTGCCCCCGGGCTCCCATTGGTGAGTGGCAGCGCCGCCGGCTCCCATTGGCTGAGGCGCGGCACGCGGGAATGGCCGTTAGCAGCCGGGTCGGAGCTGCCCCGCTTTCCCCTCAGGCGCTGCTACTCCAGCCCGGGTCGCCCCGCGCGGCACCGCTGCTGTGCGCCGGAGCTGTCCGGAAGCACCGAGATGGAACCGCGGCACGAGCGCCGCGGTGCTGAGGACAGAGGCGCCGGAGCTGGGGGAACGGTGAGCGGCACCGGGACAGGGGGCACCTGGGCAGCCATAACCTGGCTTCATGCGGGGTGAGGGGCTGGGAGTGGGACTGGGATGCGGATGCAGACAGGATGGGATGTGGGGAAGTGGGATAAATACAGGACGGGCTGTGAATATGGGGTGGATATGAGGCTATAGGGAGCTATGGGAGAGATATAGGGGAATAATGGGGAAATAGAGGGGGGATAGGGAGCTGTGGAGAGCTGGGGAGGGATATGGGAGAGTGGGGGCTACAGAAAGCTGTGAGGTATAGGGAGGCGTGTGGATATATTGTGGGCTGTGTTGGGGAATTGGGGTATATGGGGGATTTGGGGCAATAGAGGACTGTGAGGATGTTATGGGGAAACAGTGCTATGGGGAGCACTGGGGGGTTTGGGAGGGGCTATGGGGGGATGAATGGGGGTATAAGGTGGGCTATGGAGGGATGTGGGGCTAGAGGGTCCAGACATAGGCCCAAATACAGGGATTATAGGGAGTTATAGGGGGAGATGGGGCAATATTGGTGGGATGTAGGGTTACAGGAAGGTTGTGAAGCGATACAGGGTGATAGTGGGCTACAGGGGCCTGGGGAGAGCTATGGGGAGGGATATAAAGGGCTGGGAGGAGGAAAAAAGAGAGTATGGTTCAATAAACATAGGGGGCAAATAGGTGGGATAGAAGGGGACTTGGGGCTGCAGGGAGATGGCTGTAGGTGTGATATGGAGAAAGAGGTGCGACAGGGGGCTGCGGAGGGGTGCTGTACGGGAACTGCTGAATTGCGGCCTGAGCCTCTGACTGCCCACCTGAGGGGAGCACCGAGTCAGCCCTGTAAGCACAGATGAAGGCAGTGCTCCTGTGCTGCCGGAAGGGGAGCCTGGCTGCACCTCTCCCAGACCCATTTAAGAGCTGACTGCTGGTGGGGAAGGATCTCTTGTGGAGATTGCTCCTCTTGGAGTCTTCTCAGTGAGTCCAGGACAAGGGCAAGCTTCCCATCCATTGTTCTTCGGTGTGGTAGCTTGTTTAGCCTAACTTCCCTCTATGTTTCTTAATTATAACAACTGTATATTCATTGATTTTACGGATATAAAGAGATATAAGCATATAAAAGGCTGTGGGGGAGCTACAGAGTGCTTGCATAGGCTATAGGGAAATATAGGGCAATATGGGGCTACGGGGGGGCTACAGGGTAATGCAAGGAGAAAAGGCCCCTGGAGAGGAGCAGATAACAAGAAGATGAAAGGAATAAAAGGGGGTCAGTAGGTGGATGTAATGTAACTTCAGTGGGCTGGGAAACGAAACAAAAAAAAAGAGGAAAAAAAAACAAAAAAAAAAAAAAAGAGAAAAATGACAGATACTAAAAAATGAAAAAAACAAAACACAACCAAAAAGAGCAAAGTTGAAATAATGAAAAGAACAGAAAAAGAGATTAAAAAGCAAAAAGCAATGGATGGTGAGAAATGTAGAGAAAGCAAGTAGGGAAGCTAACCATTGCACAGCAAAGGAAGGCAAAGCAAGGCAAAGAATGAAAAAATGCAGCCTTCCAGGAATGCAGGAATGTGGGAAAGCTGAGCCCCGGCTTGCCACAGGAGCTGCGCAGAAGGAGAAGAAGCGTTGTAGAGCTGTCAGGCAGACGGGGGTTGATTTGCCACTCTCAGCAGGTATGAGACTAGCAATACTTTCTGTAAGTGCATTGCAGTTGAGAAATGAGTTTGTTTTGGCTATAGAAACAGTGTATTTGAGGGATTTTGGTGGATGTGGCCTAAAGGATAAGGATTCAGTTGGCGACTGCTTTCTGTGATGTGGAAATGCTGTCCTTTGTGTTAGGGATGGAGCATGGGATTCGATTGGCTCTTATTGAGAAAGGGGAAAATGGGCAGCCTGTGTGGGTAAGAACATTCTGTGAGCTGTAGTTTGGGTGTGTTCAGCTAAATAGGACTGTATGAAAGGGCGTGTGATGGAGGAGAGAGGAAAGTGCCTTGTGTTGACTATAAAGATGGTAGAATGTTAGAGCAGTGGAAAGGCAAATTAAAGAAACCGTGCTTGGAAACTGGAAGGTTGTGGGTGACTGTGCCAAAATCTTCCTCCAAAGAGTTGCTCTTCAAGTACTTCTTGCTTTCTCCCTGCCACAAGCTGATACCAGTAGCCATCCAGTGCAGCGTGGCTATGCAGAAAGGCTGGGGAAGAAGACAGAGCTTGAGAAGGCACCAAGGACACGTACAGGTACACAGCAAGTCTGGACTTGATGCACTGTCTTTCTGCCCAGGCTTTCTGTGTGTTGGCTCCTGGGGCAGTTCTGTGCAGTTTACATCCCAGCTTTCTCCCAAGCTCTGGCTGCACAGAAGTGCAAGCAATCAGAGGAAAAGAACGAAAAAGCAGAGGAGTGGCCTTCTGAGAAAAGAGCTGAGGGGGAGCTTGAGGCAGTGTTTTGGAGTAGTGCTTTGACTTAGGGTTGTTCTGTGTCTGAGTTTTCCTTGCCCTGGTGTCACGGAGTTGACCAGATCAATCTATGTCTGTGACAGGGGCGACAGGCCTCTGCCCTCCCCACCCCCCCCACCCCAGTCCCACAAAAATGGGAAAGAAGGAAGGGAGGAAAAGAACAGCGGCGACAATCTATGGAGGAAAACTTATTTTACTATAGTATCGGAATACTAGATGACACAATATATACAATTTAATTGAAATTGGGATTAATAAATCAGACAAGATGAGAGAGAGAGAGTTCCTGGGACCGATTCAAACCTGAAAAGCTTGGAACGGCTAGGAAAGCACCCTCCAGCACCCACTGCAAGGCAGCAAGAGAGTGCCCCTCCACCCGGAAGGGCCAGATCCCGTGACTGCTGTAATGTACAGGGATAGGTACCTGGGACTGGGGCAGTGACACTTTAATGCCCCGTACACTACATGATGTTTTGATGTGGAATACTGAAACCCAAAAACAAAAAAAAAACCAAAAACAAAAACATAGAACTATGACACCTGGTTATCACTGAGTGTAGCTATTTGTTTTCTTGGATCCTGTGCACGCGTTGTTGGTAGATGGATTAGTGTGTGGAAAAGACAGCTGAGAATCCAGGGCATGGCAGTGTACTTCTGCTGGGCAGATGTACTGAACTGCTGGAAGGATTGTGAGAATGAGAAGAGAAGCTGGATTTCTGTTGGACAGCCTGACTGCATCAGTTCTGCCTCCTTTCAGTGAGCTGAAGGCAGTGTGTGTGGAGCCTTGTGATGGGAAACCCACGGTCCCCACAGGGTAGGTGCGGAAAAGAAATGGAGCTGAGATGCATCTGTGTGCTGTGAGTGCTATTGCTGAGGACAGGGAGGAGCCCCAGCTGATAAAAGGGCTTTGGTAAGAACAGTGGTGAAAGCAGGAGTGGATATGGAAGGTTTGGATTGCTCATGGAGGAACGGTGGAAGTGTCAAATATTCTGCAGGTTCAGCATGCGCTGCGCCCTGCCTGCGCCCTGCCTGCGCCCTGCCTGGTTTTTTGTCCTTTCCTTTTTAGGGTAGGAAAGCAAATTTCTGGGGCAGGGGAAGAAGAAATGCAGCAGTCTTCTCTGCACAGCTCATTTTGCGTGAGTTGCCAGGTGCTGCTGTGGTAATTGGTGCTGATGAGCCGGCCTTCGTGGCAGGGCTGTGGCTTTATTTTATGTCAGAATTTGAGGGCTATGATTTTCCCACTGTGAGTGCCTGTTTTAAATGATAAAAAATGATATTAAAATTAGCTTCCCTCCTTGTATCAGAATCACGTATTGACTTTTGATATTTGTCTTTCTATTCCTTTAGCAACTGGGGTGTTGATGCTGCTGCACGTATCTCCCATTTTGCCCTTCTGCTCTGTGTAAAAGAATAGCAAAACATGCCATCTCTGTGTGCAATTTCCTTCAAGTATTTTACTTCCAGATTCCCTAAAATTTGGATCTGGGAGGTGACCACTCCTTTGTCTATGATGAAAGCACAGCGGTGATGCAGGCACTTGCTGAGGTCACAGTGGTTGCCGGGCTGGGAGCGTTTGTGCCCCAGCTGGGAGCAGAGCTGGTGCTCTAGTGAGTGCACACTGAGACTGAGCTCTGTGCTTTCATTGAGAGATCTTCCTGTGAGAGCCCACTGGAAGCAGCGCTGCGGCGTGTGTGAGAGCTGGGCACAGCTCCGGCTGAGCAGTGGCCAGGTGAGCTGGGGTTGGTGCTGGGTGTCTCAGCAGGAAAGCTGGGCTGGGGTGGGCACGCTGCGTCAGCCCTTGTCCAGGCTGGCGGTGAGACAAAAGGAGTTTTCTTCACGACAGCAACACCAGCCGTGTGCTTCAAGGTGCAAAACTATTGAGGAGATGGAGAAGAACGCTTGCTGTCAGAACTCATGGCAGCTGCGTGGGAGCTGGATGTATTTTGGAGACAGTTCTCATTAGTAGTTGGTTTTGAGTATTGCCCTGCCTGATAGCTTAAACTGCATAGCAGAAGAAAGCTGGGAAAATGCTTTTTCCTATTTTTCACTTGCAGGTTCTTTCTTTCGGGTTGGTTTACAAAAGGAGGTTTTGGGGACTGAGGCAGTTGAAGAGTGAAGCCAGCTCTTTCCAGCAGCGGGGGGTCAGTCCCTGTGGAGAGGACCCCAGGAACTTGAGCTTCCTCTGAGACATTCCCCAGCATGTCCCAGCAGGGACACAGACACAGTTCCCATTCCTGCTTTGCGCGTGGAAAGATATGACTGGGTTTCTCTAACTTGGGTTTTCTTCCTTTCTCTGGTTTTGGAGGGGAAGGGGTGGAGTAGGGGGAGCCCTGCTGGTCCTTAGTGAGCTCAGTAACCAGTTGGCTTGTGCGGTGCAGCAAAGGACAGCATTGCCAGGCTCCTTAACCTGCTGGGGCAGGGTGGGAGCCAAGAGCGGACGCTGCCCTCCTGCCATCTGTACCTGGTTGTGGTTTGCCATGTTTGCTCTGGGTTTCTGCTGAGAAGTTTGTTCTAGCTGCCTGCAGCAGTACAGGGTGGGGAAGAAATGATGGTGAAGAGCTAAGGCTGCGCACGGTAATTTTGCATGGGTTGAACTGTGGCACCTGTTTCCCTCTGACCCTGTTTCCCTCGGAATAATGCTGGTGTTTGCAGATGTGTTGGTGTAACCCCTGAAGTGATGTCTGAGAGCGCCTGTCTTCTGCACCTGAACGATAGGAAAGCTGGATATGCCCAGAAATTGCAGCTTGTGCAGATGTTGTGAATGCGCTCCCAATGTTTCCTTTAGTGATAACTCAGCGCTCTCTGGCACGATCTGGAACACTGCATCTCTTTGCAAACATTGGTGCCTGTATCCATGGGCCCCCCTTCTTTCTCTCCTCAGAAGCAGCGCCGGGCTGTTCCCCATGCTAGGGAGCAGCAGCCAGCAGGCTGCCCCAGTGCCAGCTGGGCCCTGCAGCGCGCAGAGGGCCGCAATGGGGATGGACCATCCTTAGCACCATGCAAAAGTGAGTCTCTTCAGTCCTCTGTCATGAAGGATGGAAGAATGAGTATTACTTCTGAGTTGGTGCAGTGCTGTAGGGATGTCCAGTAACCGTTGTGGAAGCATTAGGGAGGCTGACAGTGACAGCTGATGGCAGCAGTAAGACAGAAGTCTGTGTGTAAGTGGTGGCGCTCAGAGCTGAATGAATTCCCTGTAGAGACAAAAAAATCCATGTCTCAACTTGTGCAGCGTTTTGTAGCGTTTTGTTTGCTGATGCAGCTTTGCTCTGCAGAATGCAGAGCTGTTGTGCAGACCTGGGTTCCTCTGCTGCCACCTGAGCAGGAATGAGAGCAGTAATGCTTTGTGTAAGCGCACTGCAGTTTAACCATCAGCTTCTGTTTTGGCTGTAGAACAGTGTCTTTTGGTTTTGGGGTGGATGTGGGCTAACAGGACAGTGCTGCTCCTGGGAAACCAACACTCAATCTGTTGTTGTAGGGATGGAGCCTGCGGGTCCGTGGAATGGTGCTGGGCATGGGGGGAAAAGGAAAGCCTCCCCAGGTAAGAAGCTCTTGTGAGCTGTGGTGTGGGTACTGCCTGTAAACAGGGCTGCGTGAAGGTGCGTGTGATGGAGGAGAGGGGAAAGGGCCCTGCAGATGTCTGCTGACTGCAGAAATGGCAGACCATTGTAGCAGCAGAAGGGCAAATTGAAGAAACTACGCTTGAGGAGCAGAAGTTTGTGGTTGGCTGTGCTAAAATGTTCCTCCAAAGAGATGCTCTTCATGTCTGTCTTGTTTCCTTTCTGTCAGGAGCTGATGAAAACAGGCTTTCAGGGAGGCAGGGGAGGAGCGAGGAGAGCGGCACAGCACCCAAGAGAGGTACAACACACAGCAGGCATCTGGGTTTGGTGCCCTGTCTTTCTAGTTAGGCTTTCTGTCTGTCCTTTCCAGGGACTGCTGTCATTGCATGTTGCTTGAGGTCTTAATCCCTGGGGATTCCAATTACCTTTCCTGTCCCAATTGAAAATGTAAGCCCACAGTTCACTCAAGATCCTAAGGTGCATTGCTGTGAACACTGGAGATGAGATTTCCTAGTATCATGGCCTGTTTTGCAGACTGAATGTAGTGCTGGACTCATTAGATGTTGCTGCTTCCCCTTTCTTGTTTCTAACAGGGAGAGGTGCTGATCCAAATGGCGAAACCTACATGAAAACTCCTCTCCAGGCTGGAGGGCTTCCTGAAGCAGCAGGTCCCAGCAGAGGGGGAGCAGCTTCTCCTGCAGTTGCCAACTGCTCCTTCTCCCATGGTTGCAAGAAAGCGCAAAGGAGTGGAAGAGGAGGAGCAGAAAGCAGAGCTGTGTCCTGACAACAAACAAGTGAAAGTGGAGCACAATGGGGAGAAGGCTCAGAGCCCGCATCAGAGCAGAGGTGCTGTGCCAGCTCCATCAGCACAGCCTGGGCCTGCCCCAGTGCCGACCGAGCGGTTCTGGACCTCAAAGCGAAGAGGTAAGAAGATGCTGCAGCTGCCCTGGTGAGGTGCTTCCCTTGTCAAGCACGTGAAGTTTGCTTGGGGTTTGCTTTGCTTTTTCTTCCCTTCTGCAGGGAGGGGAAAAGAGTAGAAGGCTACCAAGTCCAAAGGATGTGCCAGAATGTGTAATCCTATCTTTTCCCATGAAATCCACGATGGCCTTCTGCTCGTCCCACTGCAAATACCCGTTCCTGAGAGATTTCCCAGTCTGTTTTCATGGTACCCGTGTTTCCGTGGTTTTGCTATTGACAAACTGAATTTCTCTTCTCTTGCTCTATAGAAAGACGACGACAGAAAGAAAGGAGAGCAGAAATGAAGAAGGCTGCTCTCAGAGCTGCTGCTGCACATGCAGAGGTGAGTCCTTGGCGAGCACAGACACGGCTCTTGTTCTCTGTCTGTCAGACATGAAGGAGGTTGTGGAATACTGGGGGAAGCGGTGTGCTGCTTTGACACTTGCCTTGTTTCTTTCCAGTCCTCCGCAATCAACAGCCTTGTGGAGATGATGGAGAAGCTGCAGCTGAAGGACTGAGTGGAGGAGCATCAGCAGGCAGCGGCTTTGTGGCAGCAGCCCAACTTGGCCCTCTGGTTGCAGTCCATCAATAAACAATTGGAGTTTTGTATTCACAAGGAGCGCATGGCCTGATTTGTCCAGCGGCACCCAGTGAGCTGCTGCACCACCTCCTCGTTATCAACTGCGGTTCAACTTCTCTCTTGTTTATTTCTCCTCCTTTCTACCTTTGCAATCCCTTCCCTGAAACCCCTTCCCTCCCTTCTCTTTTCTGCCTTTTCTAACTTCTCCTCTCTGCTGCCTTCCTCTATATTTTTTTCCCTGTACTTTTCTTTCTTTTCTCTGCACCATTATTTCTCTTCTTCCTCCTTCTGCACTTCCTGCTCCTCTGTTCCCTCCTCTCAGTTCTCCCCGCCTGTTCCTGCTCTTTTCCTATTCTCCTCACTCCTCTGCCCTGTTTCTGCATTATTTCATCCTCCTGCTGCAGCGGCTCATCTACTTTGCAGTTCTCTCTTTGTGCTGTCCTCTGCTCTTTGAGTAATTCTCCCTCTGTCCTTGCTCCTCTTCAGCTGGCTATTAATTCTCCACATCATGGCTCCTATTGTGCTATTTTTTCTTCTCCATATTCTTACTCTTCCTTCATCTGCACTCCTGCCGTTCTTTTTTTCTCTCTATGCTCTCTCCTCTTTCTTCTGCACTCTTCCTCTACTTCTCCTGTTCTTCATTCCCTGCCTCCTCACTCCTCTTTCCTCTGCATCAACGCTGCTCTTCTGTTGTACTTTTTTCCGTTTTCCGTACTTCTCGTTCTTCTGCATCTGCACTCCTCTTCAGCTGTTCTTTTCTCATTCTGTCCTCACTCCATTCTTCTGCATCTCCCCACTTCTTCTGATCTTCTTTACAGTCTCCTCACTTGTTTTTCATCTGCATCTGCACTCTTCTCCCGTTCATTTCTCTGTGCTTCCTCCCTGTCTTTCTTCTGCATCTGAACTTCTCTTCTGCTGTTCTTTCTTCCTGCTAATCTTTCTTCCCTGTATAATCATTCCTTTTTCTTCTGCATCTGTCTCTGCATTCTTCTCGTTTTCTTCTCTTTTCTCTTTTTCTCCATTTGCACTCTTCTGCTGCTTTTTTTCCCTGCCTTTTCTCTCTTTCATTTGCATCTGCACTCTACTCTTCTGCTGTACTTTCTTCCCTCTATCCTCGCTTGTGCATCTGCACTCTTCTAAAGCTTATCCTTCTGCCTTGTATTCTCACTGCTCTTTCCCCTGCATTCTCACTCTCCTGTTTTTTTTTCCCTTGCATCCTCATACCTCTTTCTTCTACGTCCTCCCTCCTCTCCTGCTGTTCTTTCTTCCTTGTTTCCTCACTCCTCTTCTGCATATGCACTGCACATGTGCTGTTCATTCTTCTCTGTATCCTCACTGTTTTTTATTCTGCATCTGCTCTCCTCTTCTGCTGTTCTTTCCTTCCCTGTATCCTCACACATCTTCCTTCTCTGTTTGCTCTCCACTTTGCTGGAGGCTGTTCTTTCCTCCTTTAATCCTCTTTCGTTTGCTGCTGTACTCCTCCTGTTCTGTCTTCTATTTATCCTCACTCATTTTTTTCCTTCTGCATTCACGCTCCCTTTCTGCAGTTCTTCCTTCCTCGAATCCTCAGTCCTCTTTCTTTTGCTGCTTTTTTTTCCAGTTTCTCACTGCTCTTTATTCTGCATCTGCAGTCATCATTTTCTCATACTTCTTCCCTGTCTTCTCTCCTGTCTTCTCCATCTGCACTCTTTTTCTGCTTTCCTTTCTTCCCTCCTTCCTCTTTCATCTGCATATGAACCCCATTTCTGCTCTTCCTTCCTTCTCTCTCTCCACTCTCCGCTTTCTTCTGCATCTGTCCTTTCTCCCTTGTAACCTCACTTCTCATTTTTCTGCATCACACTCATCATCTTTCATCCCTGTCTTCTCACTTCTCATTCACCTGCAGCTGCAGTCCTCTTCTGCTCTCCTTTCCTCCTTATATCCACACTTGCCTGTTTTTCTGCATCTGCACTCCCCTTCTGCTTTGCTTTCTTTATCCTATCCCCACTCCTGTTTTGTCTGCATCCCATCTCCTTACTGCTCATTGCTGTGTCAGCTTTACTGTTCTGCTCTTTCTTCCCTCTCTTCTTTTCTTTTGCATATGCACTCCAGTTCTTCTATTCTTTCTTCCCCATATCCTCTCTGCTCTTTCACTTGTATCTGAACACCTATTCAGCTATTCTTTCTTCTCTGTTTAGTCATTCCTTTTTCTGCTGCATCTGCACTTCTCTTCTGCTGTTCAGTCTTCTATCTATCCTCATTGCTCTTTTGTTTGTATCCACACTCTTCTTCTGTTCTTTCTTCCTCATGTCCTTTCTTCCTTTTCCCCTGCATTTTCTCTCTTCTTCTGCTGTTCTTTCTCCCCTGTATCCTCACTCCTCTTCCTTCTGCATATAAACTCCTTTCTTGGTCGTCTTTCTTTGTCTCCTCACTGCTTTGTTCTGTATCTGCACTCCTGTTCTGCTCTCATTTCTTCCCTGTAACCTCACTCCTCTTTCTTCTGCACCTGAACTCCTGTTCTGCTGTCCTTCCTTCTCTTTATCCTCACTATTTTTTTAACCTGCACTCCTGCTGTTCTTTCTTCCCTTTCTCATACCTCCTCTTTCGTCTGCATCTGCACTCTTCTGCTGTCTTCTTGCTTGTGAATTCACTTTCCACTTGCACCTGCGTTCCCCTTTTGCAGCTCTTCCTTCCCTGTCTACTCTCTCCTTTTTCTTCCGTATCTGCACTCCTCCTTTTCTGTCTTCTATCAGTTCTCACTCCGCTTTGTTCTGCATCTGCCCTCCACTTTTGTTGGTTTTCCCCTGTCCTTGTTGCACTTTCTTCCATCTGCACTCCCTTCCTGTAGCTTGTCTTTCCTGTCTACTCACTGCCCTTTCTTCTGAGCTGCGCTCCTCTACTGCTGTTCTGTCCTCACTACTCTTGCTTCTGCATCTGCAGTCCTCCTCTTCTCTTCCTCCTCCTGTGTCCTCGCTCCTATTTCTCCATCTGCACTCCTCTTCTGCTGTATTTTCCCTGCATCCTCACTCGTCTTCATCAGCTTTACTCTTCTGCTGTTCCTTCTTTCCTCTGTCCTCACCTCCTTCTGCGTATGCTCTCCACATCTGCTGTTCTTTCTTCTTTGTATGCATGCTGCTTTTTCTTGTGCACTTGCACTCCTCTTCTTCTGTTCTTACTTCCTTTTATTTTCACTGTTTTTTCTTCATCTGTTCTCCTCCTCTGTTGTGTTTTCTTCCCTATCTCCTTGCTTCTTTCTTCTATATCTGCTTTCCTCTTCTACTTTTTCTTCCCTCTCTCCTCTTGGTTCTGTCTGCATTCCTTTCTTCCCTGTGTTCACACACGTCTTCTTTCTGTGTCCGCTCTCCACTTTGGCTGCTCCTTCTTCCATTTATCCTCACTCTTTCATTTGCATCTGCAGTTCTGCTGTTTTCCTTGCATCCTCACTGCTCTTTTTTCTGCATTACTGCTCCTCTTCTGCTATTCTTTATTCCTTTCCTCTTCAAACCTGTGCGACCTGGTGTAGGGAACCTGCTTTGGCAGGGGGTTGGTCTCGATGACCTCCAGAGGTCCCTTCCAACCCCTACGATTCTGTGATTCTGTGATTCATTTCTTTCTTCTGCATCTAAACTCTTCTGCTGTTTTCTTTGCCGTGAATTCGCTTCTTTCATCTGCACCTGCTTACGATGCTGTTACGATGCTGTTACGATTCCTGTTACGATGCTGCTTTTTTTGTTTCCTCACTGCTCTTTATTCTGCATCTACACTTGTGCTTTTGTGTCTGTCCTCACTACTCTTCCTTCTCTGTCTGCGCTCCACTTCTGTTCTTCTTTCTTCTGTCTCCTCACTCCTGCCTCTAAACTCCATTTCTGCTCTGCCTTCTTCCCAGTGTCCTCACTGCACTTTAGTCTGAAGGATGAGAGGAGGGCCCCACAGTAGGAAGTGAAAGGTGAGAAAAGGACTTCACAGAGGCTGAGGATAGGGGTAGTTAGAGATAGCTTACAGAAGCAAGGATGTGGAGGTTGTTAGAAAAGTAAGGGATGGCAGACACTGGCTCTGGGATAGCGAGAGGGATGAAGGCCATGCAGAGAAGGGTTTGAGAACAGCCTGAGGATGTGTGGCAGGGAGGTGAGAGATGTGCCCAGGGCCTGGGGGCTGCTCCTCCTGCAGGCTTAGAAGTTTGCAGCCAGGAAGACCAGGAGCCTTCGTGATGAAAACCACAAATCTTCGCCCCACGGTGCAGGCGCGATGGGGGGAGGGTCTGCATGCTAATGAACTCTCAGGAACGTAATGAATATGGATCATGAATTAGTTTAGCCTGTATCTGAGTCACGCTTCTTGCTGATGGTGTGCAGCTCTGGGGGAGCTGTGCCCGTGGCACCAGGGTGGTTGTGCATCGCTGGTGGAACACAGCTGCTCTGTGCTGGTCCAGCCTGCAGGGTTTGATTTCCACGTCTGTCTCTGCTCTGAATCTGCTGGTGGCTCAGAAGCCGTAGTCCTGCAGGCTGCCCAATCAGTGCCGACCTGGAGAAACAGCGAGACGGACACACAGACACAGCCTGGCCTTCTGCCTCGCTTCCTCCGCCTGTCTGCTAGTTCCCAGAATCCTCCCGTTTCCTTTGTTTTTTTCTTCTATGCTTTGCTGTGCTTTGCTGTATTTTCCTTTGCTATGCAATGGTTTTCTTTCCTATTTGCTTTTCTTTCTTTGTTGTTTTCTGTGTTTTATTTCTTTTTTCCTCGTCTTTGGTTTGGTTTGCTTTTTCCTTTATGCTTCTTTGCTTTGCGTTGCTTTTTTCTTTGCTTTGCTTTGCTTTGCTTTGCTTGTCTGCTTGGTTTTTGTTTTTTTTCCTTTTTTCCAACTGGTTTTCTTTGTTTTTCAGAGCTGTGCTTTGCTTTTTCTCCCACTGTTTTTTTGTTTTGTTTTTTACTTTTGTTTCTCAGCTTTGCTTTTGTCTGCTTTGCTTTGTGTTGCTCTCTCACTTCTTCTTTTCTTTCTTTAAATTTGTTTGTCTTTTATTTGCTTTGAATTTCCCTTATTTCATTTCTGTGTTTCCTTTGCACAGCTTTTCAGAATTACTTTTCCAACTCTTCCAATAATTTCCCCCCTTTTCCCACACTTCCCTATTTCTCTTCTTTTCCCTTGCTTTCCCATCATTTACCATCTTTTTTCTCCACCTCGTCCCATGCTCTCCCAGTTTTTCTGACACTTTGCATGCCAGCATCGCTTCCCCCGTCGCGTCACCACCCACCCCATCCCTGCCCCACAGCTGCTCTGCACCATACAGGCTCGTCTCGTCCTCTCCTTGATCCCCTGAGACGAGCACTGAGTCAGCCTCGGGAGCGCATTGAAGGCAACTCAGCTGTGTGAGCAGAAGGGCTGCAGCCTGGCTGCGCCTCTCCTGGGCCCCACTGAAGGACCGACTGCCTCTGGGGAAGGATGTCCCATGTCACAGGTAAGCTCTCAGTTCATTTCTGATTCTCCCTCTCTAATGCGGCGATCTTTCCAGCCTGACCTCTCTGTATCCGTACTGATTGACATCTGGGATTTGGTTGTTGATGCGCTTGGCGAGCCAGGCAGGCCAAAGGTGCTGCCAGGAAAGGAAGGGTGGCCGTGGTGGGCGACTCCCTTCTCGGAGGAATGCAGGGCCCCATCCGCAGGCTGGACCCGAACCACTGGGAAGTGTGCTGCCTTCCTGGGTCAGGGACATAGCCAGGAAGCTGCCCAGGCTGGTTAGGTCCACTGGTTCTTTTCCTTTACTCGTAGTTCAGCTTAGCAGTGAGGAAATTGCTCAGAGAAGCCTACAAATGATGACAAGAGATTCAGTGGTTTCTGGGATGTGGGGCTTTTATGGGGTATTGGTCTAGGGTATGGGGCAGGAAGATGTGGACGTAGGGGTAGAGATGTTGGGCTGTTATGGTGCAGAGCTTTGGAGCAGAGATGGGGGCTGGGCTGTGGGGCAGAGACATGGGGCAGGGATGACTTGCTGGGATGTGGGGTCTGATGTGCGGCACAAAGATGTGAGGCTGGGATGTTGGGCAGAAATTGTTGGGCTGGGATGTGGGGCAGGGATTTCAGACAGGGATATAGGCCTGGAATCTGGGGCTGGGGTTTGGGGCAGGGATGTGGGGTAAAAAGACGTGGGGCACAAATACGAGTGGCAGGGATGTGGGGCTGTCCTGAGGGGGCAGGATACAGTGGGCATCCTGTGAAGTGCTTATCTGTGTCCTCCTGGTTGTGATAACAGCAGTTACAGGTTATGTGGTTGCTGTTAGCTCTGCTGTAAATGCTGGGTGCCGTGCGTCTGAATGAACAGCATCAGAATATTGGATGTCCTGCGAGGAAATCAGGACGAACGAACTTGTGTTTTGGCCAAGCGGGTGCTGTGTGAGTGTGGGCAGAGTGAGGCGTAGCTGAGCTACGGAGCGGGAGCAGAGTCCTGAATCCACTGCTTCGTTCTCCCACAGGGAAACGGGCAGAGATGGCTGTGCTCTGTGTCATGTGTTCGTGTGTACGTGTTTTCTGCGTTGAAATGAGCTGAGATTGCAACGATGGTGGAATACAGAGGGAAGGTTGGGCCCTGGAGGGAGGCAGAGAGAGGAAGGAATTTCTCGGTTTAAGTGGTTATCGAGTTTCTCAACAGAAAGCACAAATAACTCAGCAGCAAGTGACATTTTGGGATATGAGATTGCAGCTGGACTTCAAGCCTTCAGGACTGTCAGGAAAGAAGCCACCTGCCAAAGCCCTGAGCCACAGCCTGCCAAGGAACTCCGTGCGTTCCCAGAATGACAGTCATGCTGACCGTGGATACGCAGCTACGGAGTGATGGTAAAGCCAAATATTACATGAAATGGGGAGGCAAGGTGGGCATTCTGCCTAGACTTCAGCAGAGCCTTTGACACTGTCTCCCACAGCATTCTCCTGCAGAAGCTGGCAGCCCGAGACTTGGATGGCTGCACTCTTGGCTGGGTAAGGAGCTGGCTGGAGGGCCGGGCACAGAGAGCGGTGGTGAATGGAGTCAAATCCAGCTGGCGACCGGTGGTGAGTGGTGTTCCCCAGGGGTCGGTGCTGGGGCCTGTCCTCTTCAATATCTTTATTGATGACCTCGATGAGGGGCATCGAGTGCACCCTCAGTAAATTTGCAGATGACACCAAATTGGCTGGAAGTGTGGATCTGCCTGGGGGTAGCGAGGCCCCACAGAGGGACCTGGACAGGCTGGAGAGCTGGGCTGAAGCCCATGGGATGAGTTTCAACAAGGCCAAATGCCGGGTCCTGCACTTCAGCTACAACAACCCCAGGCGACGCTACAGGCTTGGGGCGGTGTGGCTGGAGGACTGCGTAGAGGAAATGGACCTGGGGGTATTGATTGATGCTCGGCTGAACATGAGCCGACAGTGTGCTCAGGTGGCCAAGAAGGCCAATGGCATCCTGGCTTGCATCAGAAACAGCGTTGCAAGCAGGAGCAGAGAGGTGATTGTTCCCCTATATTCAGCACTAGTGAGGCCGCACCTCGAGTACTGTGTCCTGCAGGAAAGATATTGAGGCCCTGGAACGTGTTCAAAGGAGGGCAACAAAGCTTTTGGCTTGTTTTTAACGCACTGCAAGGGAAGCGGAGGAAAAGAAATGACAGGAATCTCTTGGAAAGAGGCCACGAAGATGGTGAGGGGCCTGGAGCATCTGTGCTATGGGGAAAGGCTGAGTGAGCTGGGTCTGTTCAGCCTGGAGAAAAGGAGGCTGAGGGGGGAACTGATCCAGGTCTGTGAATATCTGAGGTGTGGGGGCAGCATGGCGAGGCCGGACTCTGTTCAGTGGGGAGTGGAGACAGGACGAGGGGAAACGGTCGGGAACTGCAGCACAGGAAGTTGTGCACCAATGTGCGAAGGAGCTGCTGTGCAGTGAGGGCCATGGTTCAGTGGGAGCTGTTGGCGATGGCTGAGCGGTTGGACTGGGTGAGCTTGGAGCTCTGTTCCAACCTCGGTGATTCCATGATTCTATGATCAGTGACCCATAGAGCCCCACAAGTGACCTGTGACCCACATGTACCACCCTGGTGCCCCACAACTGACAACTCAGGGTCCCACAGTTGCCCCACAGCGACGCACAAGTGACACAAAGAGCCCCCCTAGTGATCTGTGACCCACAAGTGCAACCCTAGTGCCCCACAAGTGGCACAGCAGGGACCCACAAGTACCCCACAAGTACCCCAGAGCGCCCTACAAGTGACCTGTGACCCACAAGTGGCCCCAAGTGCCCCACAAGTACCCTTCAAGTGCCACCGCAGTGACCCACAAGTGACGCATAGAGCCCCACAACTGAACTGTGCCCCACAAGTGACCCCAGCACCCCACAAGGGACCCACAAGTGCCCCCCTGTGCCCCACAAGTGATGCATACAGCCCCACAGTTGACCTGTGCCCCACCAGTGACACATCTGCACCCCACAACTGACCCCCACGTGACACTCAAGTGCCCCATCAGAGCCCCACAAGTGACCCATAGAGACCCACAAGTGCCCTATTAGTGACAAATCAGCGCCCCATAACTGACCTACAAGTGACCCCCAACTGGCATCACAGGGACCAACCAGTGCCCCACAAGTGACCCATAGAGCCCCACAAGAGACCTGTCACACACAAGTGCCCCCCACTGCCACACAAGTGCCTCACAAGTGACCCAGAGGGCCCCGCAAGTGACCTGTGACCCACAAGTACTGCCCCACTGCCCCACCACTGACCCACAAGTGGCACAGCAGGGACCCACAAGTGCCTCCCAAGTGACACATCAATGCCCCAGAAGTGACCCACAAGTGACAACTCATGGTCCCACACTTGGCCCACAGCCACCCACAAGTGACACAAAGAGCCCCCCTAGTGATCTGTGACCCACAAGTACAACCCCAGTGCCCCACAAGTGGCACAGCAGGGACCCACAAGTACCCCACAAGAGCCCCAGAGAGCCCTACAAGTGACCTATGACCCACAAGTGGCCCCAAGTGCCCCACAAGTACCCTTCAAGTACCACCGCAGTGACCCACAAGTGACGCATAGAGCCCCACAACTGAACTGTGCCCCACAAGTCACCCCAGCGCCCCACAAGGGACCCACAAGTGCCCCACAAGTGACCCATAGAGCCCAACAGTGACCTGTGACCCACAAGTGCCCCCGTGTGCCCCACAAGTGCCCCACAAGTATAAGGTTCCAGGAATAAGATTCCTAGCACTGTGCTCTAACTACTGTTCCAGACAACTGCTAGGCTCAGGTTCGAGTATTACTTGGTAGGCACCATTCAAAATAATGACTTCATCAATTTGAAAGCCAACAGTTCAGAAAACGTTACTGATCTTAGTCATATTAGGAAACACTGGTGAGTGATAAAATAGCTCTCAACTTTTCCCCACAGTACCACTGACAGTTGCGTCAGGAGAATTGACAGAGTCCTCCCACCTTCATACATACGCTCACCTCTTGATATTCCCCTAAGGGAGTCAGGTATTGAAGAACGAGCCTCTGCTCTATGGCAGGAGTCAAAGGGTAAAGTGTATAATTAGTGCCAATCACCCATGGGGACATTTCTGACCAGCTGCTGTTGGACAGTTCAACAAATATCCGCTCTGGTTCTGAAGCAGAGAAGCCCAGTTTTTGCTTGGCCTTCCGGAAGCCATCTCTTTCATGCTGTTTCCCTGATTTGCTTTTTCTTAATCCCCCATCATCTAGCTTTGTAGAAGAGTTGACTCTGCTACTGGTCTTGTGACTCGAATCAAGATGAAGGGAGATCTCCATATCCCCAGCCACTTCTTCTTGCTCTCCATCCACTG